TTTTTCTGAGTGTTTTTTCTGAGTGTTCGATCTTTGTATTAATAATTATAACAAGATAATTAATATCTCAGTCTGGAGTCGTTCAGCGCACACGCTCCTGGTGAATACAGCACCAAATGACATATGTCAAATTATTACTGGCTGTCTGAAACCAACCACTGTCGATATGCTGTACCCGTTGGCTGGTGTTGCCCCTCCGGACATCCATAGAGAAGCGGCTAGCTCCCTGGAACGCTTAAAAAAAGAAACTGACCCGCGGCACCCATTACACCATCACGTGCCAGTAATCCAGAGGCTAAAGAGTCGCCATAGCTTCATTAAAGAAGTATGTCCTCTGGTCGGGGAAACTAAGCAGGCCCGAATAAATCTCCTCGGCGTGATCTAACTTGGCAAACTTGGAAGTCGCTAAATAAGCTGCGGACCCAAGTCGGCCGAAGCAAGGAGTGGTGTTACACGGGTGGGGTTACAGCTCGGAGAGCGCATGTCCGAGTGGTGTCTCTCTACAGACAATGGCACATCTTTTGTCCTGCCCTGCATGTCCCAACACCTGTATACGCGAGGACTTGTACAACGCCACTGATAATGCTATCACAGTCGCTAAGTACTGGTCCTCACAAATATAAACGTCAGAGTCGAGTTTTATAAGTATATTTAATTATAATTGATAATAATATTGTCTGCGGACTGGAATTATGTGCGTATTAGGTCTTTTTTTTGGTATGACAAGCTGTAGCAGAATGTCAGCGACGCCGTAAAACGCTTCGCCATTTTGCTATTCTACCATTTTATTATTTCCAACCACTATTGTGTGATACTAAAGTGTATTTTTTATAGTTTAATAATCTCAGTACAGAGTACTAAAAAGACCGACCTCAAAAGTACGTGGAATTACGTCTACTTGCTAAGTTTTATTGAAATATCCTTAAATTCGCCACTGTACAGGGCTTGACACTGGAGATAATAATAATCGGTTCTCACTACTCAAAGTATATTTAGAGAAAAACGCCTTGAATTGGAGAAATAGCAAAATCAGCCATTAAAGTAATTGCTCCTAAATTAAAGCTAGGCGCTATTTATAGAATTGTATCTTCATGCGTGAACAGCCCCCCTTCTAGGTGGATGACTTTCTTCAAAATGAAATGGGACCACTATGAAAGTACTCCCTTTCCCACAAAAAACGAATCGTGAAAATCGGTTCACAAATACCGGAGTTATCGCGTAACATACATACAAAAAAAAAGAAGAGCGTACAGTCGAATTGAGAACCTCCTCCTTTTTTAAAGTCGGTTGATAACTTTAATGTTATTCATTAATTAATATGGTGCAATGAATAAACGGTTTTATTATTATATTATAGTTTATAAGAAATAACCCTGTAAGATCGAACACTCAGAAAAAATTCCTTTGATCCGGCCGGATTCGAACCGACGTCATCTAGCATACCGTGCCATACGCTATACCAACTTAGCCACGGAACGAACCAGCAGACCTCAGGAATATTTCTATGTGCTTTGTGTTTTAAATACAGTGAATAACGGTATCTCTGGCCGGGGCTGGTAGCTGTAAAGATATCTAACTGCATGACGAAATACTTTCATAAAATTTCTCATAGATGGCGCTACCGCTAAAAAGTCGTTGAAAAACCAAATATATATATATATTTGTCGTATCTATGTATAAATATATACATAGATACGACAAAGCACATACGAAAATTCGTGAGGTCCGCTGGTTCGTTCCGTGGCGCAGTTGGTATAGCGTCTGCCACGGTATGCTAGAAGATGTCGGTAAAAATCCGGCCGGATCAAAGGAATTTTTTCTGAGTATTTGATCTTTGTATTAATAATTATAACAAACTAGTGGAGTAATTTCACATAAAAATAATTGAATATGAATTCAATATAAATTTAAACTCTATAGGTAATTAACAAGGTATAACTCTGTAGGTATTAATCGTATTTTTTCATATTTGGATAAGCCAAGTCAAGTGCATAGCCTCCGAAGCTCTTGACCATCTGACTGGCTACTCCGTAAGCGGACATGTTTTCGTTTCTAACCTCACTTATTAGAGCATTATTTATAAATAGCCCCAAACCTGTTGTTACGGCATTCATATCATTGAAATAAATAACTTTCAAATTGTTCGTCGTTAATAAATTGAGCTAAAGTTATTTGTTTTTTTTTAAACAATTTTTTGGGGGCACAAGATTTTGGAAAACAAGAGGTTTGGAGTTATTTAAAAACGAATTACCCTTTATTATGAAATTTAGTTAAAAAACATCTCACACGAATTTAATCAAATCCATCAGAAACCTGGAATCAAATCCCCTGGACTGCACATGTCACCTGTGGTGGTTGGCGTCATGGCTGCGCACGCGCCGCTTATCGCCCGGAGCTTCGTGCGGCTCGCCTGCCAACCTGAGAGCCGCCAATTTGCACCACTTAGATCAGAGCGATTTCAAGTGCACACGTGAGTTTTAAAATACAGGATTTCGAGTCGTTTTAAGATAGAACAATTGACACTCAATAACGTTACCACGTCATGTTTGCAACGAAAAATCGTCATGCCAGCGCCTTCCATACAAAGGAAATTTGGTACTATTATATCGCAGGGTCGTGGTTATTCATTTCGTGGTCAATAAAACATTTTCTATAGATTTTAAATAACCATGGTTCTCGGAAAAATAAAAGATTCCTTATACTTACTAAGAATATGTATCTTCACGTTTACCGCATACCGTTTGTTCTGGATTTTAAGAAAATAAAATATTAAAAAAAAACTTACAACATAAATAATCTCAGTACAGAGTACTAAAAAAACCGACCTTAAAAGTGCGTGGAATTACGTCTATTTGCTAAGTTTTATTGAAATATCCCCTAGTTCGCCACTATACAGGACTTAACGCTGGAGATAATAAAAATAGGTTCTCACAGGAGAAAAACGCCTTGAATTGGAGAAATAGCAAAATCACCCATTAAAGTAATTGCTCCTAAATTAATGTTAGGCGCTATTTATGAAAATGAATGTTCATGCGTGAACAGCCACCCTTCGAGGTAGATGATTTTCTTCAAAATGAAACGGGACCACTATGGAAGCACCCCCTTTCCAACAAAAAAGAATCATGAAAATCGGTACACAAATACTAGAGTTATCACGTAACATACATACAAAAAAATGAACATACAGTCGAATTGAGAACCTCCTCCTTTTTTGAAGTCGGTTAAAAAGAACTGATTCCGAGAATCTCAAGCCAATAAAACACTTTGGATTTTTTTTTAATTTGGCTTACAAAACTGGTTACAAAGTTGTTAGTCTTTGCTTAAATACAATTCGAATACAATGGAACCTACGAGATGTAAATGTAAGCACAACATGCGTATAATTTTCACGTAAACCTTCTTACGAACAAATTTGGACTTGGATAGCCCAATTTCTGTTTATAAACTAAATTAAAAAACAAATGAAGAGTGTAACTTAGATATTTAAAAACAAAAAAGAAATGCAAAAACAAGTGTTTGATAACGTACTTTTTTAAGTTTTACGTATACATCGTTTGGCTGAGGACAAAGAACCACCAAAAAATATCGAAAACATTTCGAATACAGTCACTACACATTCTATACAGAGGAAAAATATGACCGAGTCTTGTCTTACATGCAGGTTTTGTAATCGTCTACCTATGCGAGGGAGAGAAAACTTGACATGCTCTAAAATATCCTGCAAATCAATATGACCATGGATTAATTTATATTTAAAAATGATATCTGAAATTTTCCTATGCATATATAAGAAAGAAAGACCGTAATGGGTAACACGCGACTGATAAGAGTGAAGCTGTTTACACATATTATCAGAGCACGCCAATTGATACAAGAATTGCTTCTACACGAGCTCCAATCTATTGGAATAACTTAAAACTAAAGTTGTCTTGTGTACATATGCTATTCACAAAGCGTCAGGCGCACATAGACGCGACGTTAATTGCAGCATCATTCAAAAATGGACATAATGGGCATAATTTACGAATGGAATTCCTTCAAAATATAAACCAGAATAAAAAACACATTTCTACAATTCTACTTTCTTTCATACAGGTCGTGACGAAGCCCAAATTTTCAATTTCGATCTGTGACCTCATATAATTGGGGTCAAAGGTCACCATGTTTCCACTAAGACTACCGAAATATTATTGAATTGTAAAATTTAAAAAAAAAAAGGAAGACTATTTCATTTCTATAGAGAATTGACATTCCGCTTGTAGTAAAGAAAAGCTATATAATCAATTATTTAGTTTAAAATGCTTATTATTACTTGCAATAACTATCTGATAAAAAAATAAGTTATCGATTCGAAGAGGATTAGTATATAATAAATAAAAAAATGGCAATACTAAAAGATATTTGTCGCATTGTTAAAAAAAATAAAAGAAATGGAAGTGAATTAACGGGCGTAGTAATCTTTTAAAAAGATATACGCAGTTTAAGGGATACCGGATTATAATTTATGTGTGTAAGGCTGCTAACATATTGACTGCACTGCAGTTGAAACCACCTTCATGCAGCTGAGATCGATTGCATGCAGTTAATGCGTTAAGTCGTTATCCCAGACCTCGACTGCATGAGGTTGATAGCGACGTCACGCATTAACAGCCAATCTGTATGCAGTCTTATAGATCTATTGTTTTATTTTAAAATTATATGCTTACACATATAGTACATAAAGCAAAATAAATTCCAGCGGATGACAAAGGCTGCCTGTCCGCCGACTACTGCCCCTCTGCGTGCACCTGCACAGGCACCGTGGTGCGCTGCGCCCGCGCACAACTCACGCAGCTGCCGCACAACATTCCCCGCCAGACCACCGAGCTGTAAGTTCCTCACACTTCCAACTAAACATTGAGAACCTTATCACAAAGCAACTATTAAAAAATCTAAATAAGTAAGAATTAGAAAGAATTGTTACATCAAACACACATGCATATAACTTGTTTGATGCATACACAAAAAATAATTGAAAAATTCAAGAAAAATTTAAGTACAGTTAATAGCGACATCTCTAGCCAGGGCTGTTAGCTGTAAAGGTACCTAACTGGGTGACGAAATACATCTATAGATTTCTCATAGATGGCGCTACGGCTAAAAGTCGTTGAAACCAAAATACAAAGACTCGACAACAAACACTTGAAAGAATTCGTGAGGTTCACAGGTTCGTTCCGTGGCTTAGTTGGCATAGCATCTGGCACGTTTGCTAGGAGACGTCGGTTCGAATCCGGCCGGATCGAAGGTTTTTTTCTAAGTGTTCTTTTTTTCAAGCGATCTTTGTATTAATAATAACAGACTAGTGGAGTAATTTCACAAAAAATAATTGAATATAATTAGTTTAAAGAATTGTGTTTCTTTTAAAACATTTTGTCTTTTTGCTGTCCTCTTCCTGGATCTATTATGATCCTAACGAAGTTATTACCAACGTTTTTTTGTTGCATTATTGTATACCTATTCAAATCTATTTCCACAGATATCTGGAATCAAATGATATAACAAGTATATCACCAGAACAAATTCGCCATCTCACGCAGCTATCTCGCTTGGATCTGTCCAATAATAAAATATCCGTGCTCTCTAACAACACCTTCGAAGGACTCACAAAGCTCTCCACGTTGATCGTCAGCTATAATAAACTCAGATGTGTACAGGTGAGTGTCTATACATGTCAGTGTCGAGGCGCAAAAATTGTCGGATATGAAGCCGGAGCGAAACCTAAAAGCACCTTAAGAAAAAGTGACGCTATGGCGACCCTTAAACACACCACTTTGTTAGCACACAACACACTAGTACACTTCATTTTACTGGTTAAGTTGTTCTACACATAATCTCAGTACCGAGTACTAAAAAAACCGACCTCAAAAGTACGTGGAATTACATATTGAAATAATACATGTTTTATTGCAATCGATTACCGGGTAGTGCGCAAACCCGGATTCCTCCCCTAGTTCGCCACTAAAATATAATAAAAATCGGTTCTCACTTCTCAAAGTATATCGAAAGAGAATAATCTCAGTACTGAGTACTAAAAAAACCGACCTCAAAAGTACGTGGAATTACGTCTATTTGCCAAGTTTTATTGAAATATCCCCTAGTTCGCCACTATACAGGACTTGACACTGGAGATAATAAAAACGGGTTCTCACTACTCGAAGTATATTGAGAGAAAAACGCCTTGAACTGGATAAATAGCAAACTCAACCATTAAAATAATTGCTCTTAAATTAAAGTTAGGCGCTATTTATAAAAATGAATCTTCATGTGTGAACAGCCACCCTTAGAGGTGGATGATTTTCTTCAAAACAAAATGGAACCACTGTGGAAGTACCCCCTTTCCAACAAAAAAAGAATCATGAAAATCGGTTCACAAATATCGGAGTTATCGCGTAACATACGTACAAAAAAATAAAAACATACAGTCGAATTGAGAACTTCCTCCTTTTTTGAAGTCGGTTTATAAAATTGAGTGCAGAACGTGGTAAATTACTTTTAAATATTCTGATAATACGTGTAAAAAATTTTAGGCAAGCCGGTGGGAATCGAATTCTATGGACGCCTCGCCACTGATACATATACCTGTACTGATGTAATTATGTTTTTGTGAAATAACATATGTAGTCCAATAACAAGTGTAGTCATGTTACTGTTAACTTCATTTAACAATGTTTAACAATATAACACACAGACACTGAATTGTATATTGTACATAAATAATAATAAAAATAGTTATTTATTCAGATAACACATTGTTTTTAAGGTTCAATAGTGTTAGTAACTTACAAATCTAACTTATAGACTAGGTCAATGGTAATAATAATAGACACGTAGAGCGCACTACAAGTTTCCGGAACTGGTCACTTACATAAGCAATATTTAAAAAGTAATAACAACATTTGACAATGGAACTCTTTGGCTGTAGAATACAGTTTGTTTCATCTGACTGTCACTTGTTTTTACGTTGTGGCGTCATTTTAGAAATTGGTTGTCTACATCACCATGGATTTAACTCGTGAAAATATTCGTAGTATGATTTTCTACGACTTTAAGTGTAATTGAACAGCTCAGCGGAGCTTCGCTCGGCTTCAAACTGCTTTTGGCGATGAAGCACCAAGCAAGACGGCTTTTTATAGCTGGTTTGCAGAATTCAAACGCGGTCGTGTGAATCTCAGTGACGAATTTCGTGATGGTCGCCCGGCCACTGTTGTGAACAACAGAAACATCGATGCTGTACGCCGCATAATCAAAACAGACAGGCATGTGACATACCATGAGGTTCGGGCATCTTTAGGCATAGGTATGAGTCAAATACAATCAATACTACACAAACATTTGGGTGTGAAAAAGCTGCGCTCTCGGTGTATCCCACACAATTTGACTGAGGCTCAAAACACGGATCGCGTCACTTGGTGCAATGCCATGCTTACCAGACTCAACGAAGGGGCATCAAATTTGGTGTGGGACATAGTAACAGTTGGATTTATAGTTACGATCCCAAAACTAAGCAGCAATCGAGCGTATGGGTCTTTCGAGATGAGCCGAAACCAACCAAAGTGGCGCGCGTGCAAAGTGCCTCTAAGCGGATGATTGCTTTTTTTTTTATAAAACTGGACACGTGGCTACTGTTGCTCTGGAGAAACGTTGTACCGTGAATAGTGATTGGTACACGACCATTTGTTTGCCGGAAGTTATTGACAAACTTCGTAAAAATAACCATAAACGCCGTATCATCTTGCACTATGATAATGCCAGTTCTCACACGGCCAGACAGACAAATGAATTTCTAAAGGTGAAAAACGTTTATCTTATGAGCCATCCCGCGTATAGTCCCGACCAAGTACCTTGTGACTTTTATTTATTTCCAAAAATTAAGAACCAGTTACGCGGTCAACGATTTTCATCACCTGAAGAGGCTGTCGAAGAGTATGAAAAATATGTTTCAGAGATTGTCACGGAGGAGTGGCATAAAGGTTTTGAAAATTGGTTCATTCGTATGAAAAAGTAATGCACTTTTTCACGCTAACGGAGCATATTTTGAGAAATAATAAGTTCATTTCTAACTATTTATAGTATTTTTTTCTTATTCATTCCGGATACTTATAGTGCGCCCCACGTAGTTGCACAAAAATTAAATTATAAAAAGTGGCAGACGACTCCCAGATCCGCATCCAGATCCAATAGTCTCTTGTGAGACTATTCAATCAGGACTCAAATTAAAGATTTCATAGTGGATAGGTGATATCTATTAGGCATAAAAAGAAAATGGTGTTGGTGCTAACCCTCAGCGCCTCCGCGCCTCTGCCAACATGGTATAGGCACTGCAAAAGCGTGGCTATAAAGTTATCATTGTTTACTTTGTTTAGCTTGTAAAATAACTATGAATGAAAAAAAATCGTTTGTTTTTTTAATAATATCAAGTGACGGAACGAACAAGTCGTGCGCCTGATGGTAAGCTACACGCCTGTCCATAACAGTTGCAGTGTCACTCACCAGCAGCAGAGAAATAAGTTGACAGTCCCATGTACCTGTAATTTCAACCTTACCCCTCAAAACCGGAACACAGTAATGCTGACGTTACTGCTAAGCGGCTAGTTGGCGGCAGAAATAGATGACGGTGACGGTGGCGGTACTTCCCTGGACGAACTCTTCACAAGGAACTCTACTGCTACTTGTTCACAGAGAGACGCTCTCAAAGGCCTAACCCAACTCCGTGTGCTGTCCCTCCACGGGAACAACATTTCAATGCTGGCTGATGGAGTCTTCAGGGACTTGGAATCTATTTCTCACGTGTAAGTACTTTTATCTTTATTGAACAGCACAAATGGCGGATTTCTTTAGTGTTGTTCCATAGTCTATCGATAAGTCGTTATCGACATGCAAACGTTTAATTAAAGTAGATGAAAATTCCAACTGGCAATATCTTGGGTCATATGGGAGATTTTGAATTTATTATTTTGCATTTATAAATGCTCAAATATTACGAAAAGTGAATTTATACAGAACAAATGTAATTTGAAAGTATATTAAAAAAAAAAGAAAATTTAGTCATCATAACATGTCCTGTGGTTTCCGTAGTCTAAGATTTCTACGAATAATCTGCCTAACTTTTTTGATTTTTTTTTTTGACAGTTATAGTTAACCATCGAGTATAAAACCAGAAATAGAGACGAAATGTCATTTAATTTGTTTGAAAACTGATCTGCCAAATCCCTACGATGACAACTGCGCTCCGATTGGCCAGCCCGAACTAGTTTCACTTCAAAACAACCAGTGCAACTTGACCTTTGCTATAATGGACAACAATTGGAAAATTACACATTTAATATTTAATTACCGATGAATTGTGATTCTGTTTGTTTTGTAATTAGATGTTTTGCTGTTTTTCCCACACCACCGAATAGAACAGCCCCCCATATAGTTAGAGATATTATCTTTATTACAATAAATACTGAACATTCTTGGAATATACTTTATACACATATATAATATATATACGTACACACAGGTCAGTTGTTGGCGCTGTACTGTTTCAGCTTTCTAATTTGTGATTTCAGCGCAAGCGAGAGTTGATATCTAAAAGCCTTAGAATAATAACGCATAGAAACCTAGTCCGCACACGCTAAGTGAGGCAAATTGAAGCGCGCCCAATGGGCCTACACGAGCGGGCGGGCCTTCAGCGCTCAAGGTCAACTTGCACCGCGAACAGATCAAGAATTTTAGCTAAAAATTACATATAAATGTGCGGTAAATGAGTGTAAAAATACGTCAGATAAACATAAAATAGATACTAACATCACATTCCACAAAGAAGTAACGCGTTTCAACTTGTATTTTATATAAATATTCACTAAAACCGAAAATTAACCTACTACTAAAATTAGCCCACATGAATTTGATTTTTGCCTCACTTGTGACAGTTCGTTTGATATGAAACTATCATTCTATGCGTTATTATTCTAAGTCTAAAAGCGATATTAGGCCCATTTGCCTGATGTGTTCCTAGGCATGAATGGCCCTTATTTAGTCTCTGTTTCTGGTTATATACTCGATGCAGTTTATCGCAGGAGACAATATGGATGCCAAATTTTACTCGATGTTACGACGATTTAAAGTATTTAGTTACTTCAACGGCATGCGCAATTTGGTCTTTGCACCGTTCTTCTCTTAGAAGTCATCCAGGAAATGTCACAATGTCATCTGTTTCGGTTTCCAGTGCCCTCGGCTCCAATCCTCTGTACTGCGATTGCAACGCGCGCTGGTTGTCGGAGTGGACGAAGACCGCTGGTGAATACGTGGAACCAGGCATCGCACGCTGCGCAGACCCTGCACCAATGAAGGACAAACTCATCTTGAGCACGCAATCTAGTGCGTTCGTCTGCAAAGGTACGCAATTATAATAATAACAACTCTGACCGCGAATCCGGATGGAAATATTTTTTTGTAATACCAAATAACGGGACGTGCAAAAATCAAAATAATGTTTTTTTTTTATTATTATAAAATATAAGTGCGCATTTGACCTCCATCTCACATGATGGAAAGTGACGATGAGGTCGACGATGGTGCATGCACACATATTTCATAGGTACGCATTATCCATTATCCATCATCCAAACCCAAATTCAAAGCACTGTACCAGCAACACCTACTCTTACTTCAAAAATCTGAGTAGTGTGTTTTTATTCTTTAACGTAGTCTGTCTAGAATCGAATTTTGTTGTTGCTTTGATCTATTCTTATTACGTGTATAATTATATTATAATACTAATTACATTACATAACATTAAATCCTCTTTACAGTCATAACTTACACCTACAGCTGTAATTATATTCACATTTGCTCATGCACTTACATGTCAAACAGGTTATTTTAGATGCACTATTTACACTTTACTATGTATATTAATATTGTCAATGTATCACTTTACTCATAGTCGTTATATTTTTGCTTTCTAATAACTTAATCCCTCTCGTTGGTTCTGACTGAAAACCAGCGCCTTAGGAAACTTTGGCATATGCTGAGTCAGCGCCGTTTCACTGCTATGACAATCATGTTTTGTTTTTTCTTTTATGCTAAATCTGTATTTGTGTTATATCAGTGAATAAAGTGTTTATCTATCTATCTATCTATCTTCTATCTATTATTACACTTAAAATGGTCACATTGGTTAAACTCTACCGCTCATTCGTAAGGCAGATTCCTCTGAGAAGAATGAGCTAGAAACTCTAGGGGTTGCTCTTTGTAAATAACATTTGTACACATTCAACATTTACAATATTTTTTTTTTTTGTTTTCAAACATCAAAGATCGAGACTACCTCCATGAGCTAAACGGGTTACTACCATAGATTTTTGTCATCCAAGTACGCAGAAGTTATATAATAACCTTTAGTATAAAGTTTTTGTTTCACTTATAGTTTTAAACCTCGTGAATGGCAAATTTTGTATATTAACCGGAATCTTGTTATAGAAGCGTATACGACTATCAAGAACAGCTGGTTTATTGTCGTGCGATGTTGCAGTGCAACTCAAGAGTTTTAAATCGCAAAAGTCTTATAAGCACTGCCTCTGCGCCTGTCACTCTGAGACATAAGTTGAGAAGTCCCTTGTGCCTGTAATTTCACCAGCACCCTTACACAAGAAGAAGTTGTTCTGATTTATATATAGTAGTGTAGTGTGGGATATCTCCCTATTTGGCTCCTTGACGGAACGGCAACAACGCTGTCAGTTATTTTATTATTATATTATTTATTATATATTTATATTACTATTTTATTAGAATTACTTTAAAATCCAACTTCGACTTTCTAGATCTGTAGTTTTGTCTTACGATGCAGTAAAACCATTTCCGGGAATCCGGAATTCGAAAAAGTGATTAATTAATATTTGGTGGTTTTAACAACTCTATGTCGCTCCTTGTATATATCTATATCTGTGGAACACCTTTTTCCGACCATTGTTTATTACAAATGTTCAAAAACAAAACCGCGACTTAACCCTTAGAATATAGTACCATATTCAATTGGGATTATCTTATCTCAGTGGAATCCATAATCATAGTATAACGGTGATGAAGTTCACTCTTTCTTTGCTTATAGAGTTCGAAGTGTAAAGTTCTTGAACTGAAAAGTTATTTGTTGCCAGGTGGCCCGCCGGCCGAGATCCTGTCGAAGTGCGACCGCTGCTACAACAATCCGTGCCTGAACGGCGGCGCGTGCGCAGCCACGCGTTCGGGAGGCTTCGTGTGTTCCTGCGCCAGAGGATTCCACGGCGACACGTGCCAGCACGAGATCGACGCCTGCTACGGCTCTCCATGTGCTAACGGTGTCTGCCAAGTGCTAGAGGAGGGACGGTTCCAGTAAGTCAACTTAAATAACACTATGTAGCAATACCAACTAAGCAACGGAACGAACCAACGAACCTCACGAATTTTTCTATGTGCTTGCGTCGTGTCTTTGTACTTGGTCTTTCAACGACTTTTTAGTCGTAGCGCCATCTATGAGAAATCTTTAACAGATTTATCACCCAGTTAGTACCTTTACAGCTACCAGTCCTGGCGAGAGATGTCGCTATTCATTGTATTAATTAAATTTTTATTGAATTGATAATCAATTATTTTTTGTGAAATTACTCCACTAGTTTGTTATAATTATTAATACAAAAATCGAACACTCAGAAAAAATTCCTTCGAGTTCTATTAAATTCTTTCAAGTCGTTGAAAGATCAAGTACAAAGACACGACGCAAGCACATAGAAAAATACTATGTAGCAATTTTTCAATAATAGGTTCTTTTTAAAAATATCGACCTCAAATGTTTCTGAAATTAAACCTATTTGCCAAGTTTTATTGTTAATCGGTTAACGGAAAGTGGATCAAATTCAATAAACCAACTACAATCCCCAATTTGCCACCTTTGGGGGTGGAATATTCTCTTCAAATATGACTTGGACCTCTGGTACCCCTTTTCCAACAAAAAAAAGAATCTTCAAATTCGGTTCACAAATTTATGCCTTACTTTCTCAAATTCGTATCTTATTTAAAGAGTGATTATTGAGGAGATGACAAAACTTTTCATTTATTTAAAATTTCTTATCAAAGGGTTGTTAATTTGGATGCTTTACTTTAAGAATAGGCAAAAGCCAGTGTGTGATTACGAACGAAATGTGATGTGAAATTAGCCTGCAAAATTTGTATATACAATCCCTTAGAATGATACCGCATAGAAACCTAGTCCGCACACGCTAAGTGAGGCAAATTGAAGCGCTCCCAATGGGCCTACACGAGCGGGCGGGCCGTCAGTGCTCAAGGTCAACTTGCACCGCGAACAGCTCAAGAATTTTAGCTAAAAATGACGAAATGTGCGGTAAATGAGTGTAAAAATACGTCAGACAAACACAAAATAGATACTAACATCACATTCCACAAGGAAGTAACGCGTTTCAACTTGTGTTTTTATATAAATATTCACTAAAACCGAAAATTAACCTACTACTAAAACTAGCCAACATGAATTTGATTTTTGCCTCACTTGTGACAGTTCGTTTGATATGAAACTATCATTCTATGCGTTATTATTCTAAGATAATATACTAATTGATGTGACTGTTACATAATGAAAAGCATTAAATTACGAGTGTGGGATCTCACGCGTGTTTTAATGCCTGATTATGTGCAGTTACATACACTGCTTTATGTACACACATATTATAAGCTCTTTGTGATGTGTTCAGGAACCGCATGTTACGACAGGCGAAATGGCGGCAAATAAAAACTTTTCTCACGAATGTCACACAACCGTAGTCTTTATTTTTATTTATTAAGGCTTTGGCAAAGCCATCAGCCTAAACATGAAGTTTAATTATGTTTCTATAAATATGGCCGCCACAAAGAGGATAGGCAATTTGAGGCGGCGTGCTTGGATTGACTCGGGATTCCTTAAAACGGGCCGATACGGGTATTTTAGTTCGAGATTCGTATAATTTCGCGTTTTAATCTTCGATTAAGGCACAATAGCACTATCCTATTCCACTTTAAACTAGATTTCACAAAATAATTGAAAGTCAAAATAAAAACGACACTTTTCCCTCCAAAAGGTCCAGAGCCCCGTAGTTTTTATTTTTAATTCATAGACAAACTAGAATCGGCCCCAACTATCATATCATTCGATATCAAGTAACGTGTGAAATTTGTCAAGATTGTTTGCTTCTGACATTTCGTTTCGAATAAAACTTCATCTCGACTGATATTAGAATTGAGGTCCAATCAAATTGTTTTGTTTTTCAGAGATGTTCAAAATTTGAAATGCAATGATAACATGTTCACAGATAAGAAATTTGTTCTAACAAAACAGTTTACCTTTATGCTGGTCGTAATTTGCGGTTTTTGAACACATCATAGAGGGTTTATGATATTGTGTGCAAGTAAAGTAAATAATTCATTTGTAGCTGCGCCTGCCTACCTGGCTACACGGGCATCAGATGCGAGGTGAACATCGACGACTGCGCAACACACCGTTGTCAGAACAACGCAACTTGTGTGGACCACCTGGAAGGGTACTCCTGCAAGTGCGCACCTGGATTTATGGGTAAGTAACACACCACACCGACTCGACAAATCTATGTATATTTATTAAAAGGAAATTAAAACAAATTAATGAAATTATTAGAACTTTTATTATAAAAAAAATACCGACCTCAAAAGTTCGTGGAATTGCATCTATTTACTAAGTTTTATTGAAATCAGTTACCGCAAATTGCATGAAACCGGAATCACCTCTAGTTTGCCACCCTTAGAGGTGGAATATTTTCTACAAATTTAAATGGGACCTTCTATTTTGATGTGACCAACTTCTGGTGTCCCGATTTTTTTTCTATTAGCATTAAAATAAATAAGTCTCTTTTATTCATTTTATATGAAAAACATTTATTAAATTTGACAAACTTCCCGATTACATTTTTTCCCATACAATGAAATGATCCTTACATAAAACTAAGTCGATCAGCATTAAAAAAAATTGATGAATTTTATTAATTTTTATGGACAACACACGCTGGACCAAGAAATTGACTATGCCAAAATTGTTTTCACAAAAGAAGACTTAATGGTTCCTAAGACGGTTTCCTTGTATCTTCTAAGGTGCCCGATTTCCCCATACTGTCTCATTTAAAAAGCACTCTATATATTTTTATTTAATAATTACAAGAAAACATAAACAAAAGGTAAGTACTGCTTATTACTAAAAGAAATTTCTTCCTGTAGACCAAAATACAGAACTATAATATTGGGTTTACATGCACAAATAACAAAATTAAATTATGTAATAAAAAAATAATAAAAAACAATAGCAAAAATATTTAATTACTACAACTTAGATAAATACATATTTCATATTATACGTGGGGCACACTGTAAGTTTCCGGAACGAATAAGAAAAAAATACTATAAATGGTCAGGAATGAATTTATTGATTCTCAAAATATGCTTCGTTAGCGTGAAAAAGTGCATTACTTTTTTATACGAATGAACCAATTTTCAAAACATATAAGTCACTCCTCCGTGACAATCTCTGAAACATATTTTTCATACCCTTCGACAGCCTCTTCAGGTGATGAAAATAGTTGACCGCGTAACTGATTCTTAATTTTTGGAAATAAATAAAAGTCACAAGGTACCAGGTCGGGACTATACGCAGGATGGCTCATAAGTTCAACGTTGTTCACCTTCAAAAATCCATTTGTCTGTCTGGCCGTATGAGAACTGGCATTATCGTGGTGCAAGATGATACGGCGTTTACGGTTATTTTTACGGAATTTGTCAATAACTTCCGACAAACAAATGGTCGTGTACCGATTACTATTCACGGTACAACGATTCTCCAGGGCAACAGCAGCCACGTGTCCAGTTTTATCAAAAAAAGAAGCAATCATCCGCTTAGAGGCACTTTGCACGCGCGCCACTTTGGTTGGTTTCGGCTCATTTCGAAAGACCCATACGCTCGATTGCTGCTTTGTTTTGGGATCGTAAATATACTAAAATCCAAGGACTATAAATCCAAGTTTCGTCACTTGTTACTATGTCCCACACCAAATTTGATGCCCCTTCGTTGAATCTGGTAAGTATGGCATTGAACCAAGTGATGCGATCCGTTTTTTTGAATCTCAGTCAAATTGTATGGGATCCACCGAGAGCACAGCTTTTTCACACCCAAATGTTTAAATAGTATTGATTGTATTTAACTCATGCCTATGTCTAAAGATGCCTGAATCTCATGGTATGTCACATGCCTGTCTGTTTTGATCATACGGCGCAAAGCATCTATGTTTTTGCTGTTCACGGCAGTGAACGGGCGACCATCACGAAATTCGTCACTGAGATTCACACGACCGCGTTTGTATTCTGCAAACCAGCTATAAATAGTCGTCTTGCATGGTGCTTCATCGCCAAAAGCAGTTTGAAGCCGAGTGCAGCTGCCGCTGAGCTGTTCAATTACACTTAAAGTCTTAGAAAATCATATTACGAAAATTTTCACGAGTTAAATCCATGGTGATGTAGACAACCAATTTCTAAAATGACGCCACAATGTAAAAACAAGTGACAGTCAGATAAAACAAACTGTATTCCGCAGCCAAAGAGTTCCATTTTCAATTACTTTTAAAATATTGTTTATGTAAATGGCCAGTTCCGGAAATATATAGTGCGCGCTATGTAATATCCTTAAAAGTATATGTATGACTTTCTTGAAGTAATCTTTAAAAAAAAATATTGGGAACTTTTAGGAGAATTCTGCGAGAAGAAGATCCCGTACTGTACGCCGGAGTTCAACCCTTGTGCAAACGGCGCAGTGTGTACAGACCATCACAGCCATTACACGTGCACGTGCCCGAAAGGGTACTCTGGGCAGAATTGCACGGTTAACGCCGACGATTGCATTAACCACATGTGCCAGGTACGTAGTTCATTATGACTCATAATAATTTTATGTACTTGTGCCCTGACATGTTATTATTGTTAAATCACTATTTTATTTTAATTTCTAATGATTCATTTCATTGTGTGTTTTAATTAATTTGTTTGTTTAAGACTTAATAACGATTTTGAGCGACATCTGCCCGTAATTATAGACTGATAATTATGGAAAGTGTAAACTAGATACGAGCCAGAAAGTAGGTCGCACAGCTTCCGGAGAATTCTCGCGCAGTCGCGTGAATTCCCATTGCTGTCGTATCGTATGTAGTTTGCACGTTTCACAATTGTCATGAAATTCATTGCATTAGCCTCCTAAGGCCCCATGTACATCTAAAAGTACATAATATATGAAGTGATTCAGACCCAAACAATACTACTCTTATGATTACGTTAACGCATCGATGTAGCGCTTACAACTACATTTTTAATACATAATCGAGGGCGTACTTACTTGGGTCTAAAATATTTACTATATTTTAATGTACATCGGGCATTTAGCGCTTTACCTTTTGCACTTTGCACTGTGCACAATTTCGTTACAAAAGTTTGCTTTCATTGGGTCGCAATGAAGTCGCAGACGCCACGAGTAGTAGCCATGAGCGAATGCATAATTGGGAATGTGGTCGAGAAGGAATAAAGCGAGTTGTTCGCTGTGCGCAGAACGGCGCCACGTGCGTGGACGGGCTGGACGAGTACCGCTGCGCGTGCGGCGCGGGCTACGCGGGCCGCTACTGCGAGGCGGCGCCGCACGCCGCGCTGGGCACGTCGCCGTGCGCGCACCACGACTGCGTGCACGGCGTCTGCTACCTTCCCGCCACAGGCCTGGCGCTGCAAGTCAGTCCTGCTCTTCTTCTCTCTTCCATTTTCAGCGCTCGTATTCAAACTGCTTCCGCGGCCGGACGATTCCCAGACCGGGAGAAATATGTCGGTCGAGAGAATCTGAATAAAATGGGTCAATGCCATCTAGCGGGTATTTACGCAACTAAAATGAGTAGAATTGTTGCGTACAATCAGTGTAGCTAGCATTATTGGTCGCGGCTTGCGCGAGAGCGACATAAAGCGGGAAATACTTGTATACTCCCATGGAGTATAGCATTATCTGGCTCTTCCATATCATCCTTGCACAAATCGCGCCCTATCGCGCTAGCCCTACTGTTGTTGCATTGCACGCTACGGCCGATTCACATCAGGCCCCCGATTTAGAATACTTCGAAATTTTAACCGAATCGTATATCGTTCTCGAATCGAAGGGCGCTTTCCGAGCTATTTAGAACATTCCGAGTTAATCGTTCAATTCGGATTCGGATACAATATCGTTATACAAGAGCGTTTACGGAGTTAATCGGTGAAATAGATTGTAAGAAAAACTTAAATCCTTTCATATACATGTTTAAGATTTTCAAGACCTAAAACAAGATCGCATTTTCCATTAAGCTTGCATTAAAATAAATTAATAAAATCCAGACTTTATTTAAAATAATAAGAGATTTCCATATTACATTCTTGCTTTGTAAACAATAGGACGTTCGGTAACTTTTTTTCGATAACTGTGAACAAAATTTATTAAAGAAGTAAAGTTTAAAGAAAGGCTGTAACAATATAAAGGTAAATGTAAAAAAACGATATAAAACACTCCCTACACTTTATTATTAAGGCACTTACCCCTAAATGGGCAGAGAAACTGAATTACAGAAATAGATACATGAAGGGTGTATACTTATAAATTATTACACATGATTAGCTTATTAACAGCTCTGACTGTTGTGGCGGTCGAGCTGGGAGTGACCGTGGTACGAAAACAAAATGAGAAAGTGAAGGAAGATGGAACAATTCAAATTTAAAATTTAAATACATGTAAAATAAAATAAATTATAGGATATAAGCGGAGAGAGGCGATACAAAGAGGTGAGATGGCGGTGTAAGGTCACACCGTCACAACTGTGTTCTGAATAACGTTTGTAGCCTTTGCCGGTTCAGAAGTGCGAGGAGTAATACGACAGTTTGACATTCGATTCGGGTGTTGTGAATAAAAATGAAAAGAAATCGCATCGGTCGACAAAGTTATCGTAAGACTTAAAAGCCTGTCGGTTAGCACTGCAGAAACTAGTTAAGCAGAATCCGGGTTCGATTCCTGTTGACGAAAAATGAACTTTTGCTTCTGGCCTAAGTGTTCTGGGTAGTGCCTATGATACTCATAATATATATTACATTACATTACATCGTCGGGGATAGTACAAAGACGCGTAAGTAGCATTAGTAAAAGGCATGTGTATCTACACAAAAGTAAATTTTACTGGAGAAGACTTTAACGATATTACTTTGTTATTTCAATTGCTATGACTGTCATTTTTGCACAGTAAGTATTAATTCATGTCGTCTATGGACTAATAATACGACATAAACAATAGATTCTCGTAAATCATGTTAATTTGGTTGCTACGACACTTACGTGGATCTAATTTGGCAACGAACTAAGTAAGTTACGTGGTGTTGAAATCGAAGGCAAATTGTTATACACGGATTTCTGGCTTTCTGTTAGTCAATCGCAAACGGCGTTCAGAGTTCTCAACCATATAACTACATACACTGACATGCAAAACTCAAATTGGTTACATGTTGCAGATATGCGGAATTATCCAATGCTAGTTATACGGAATTGCACTGTCCCCGACGATATTACATCGAATTACATTATATTATATTACATTACATTGCATTACATTATATTACATTACATTGCATTACATTACATTATGTCACATTAAATTCTTCTATATATTATATTGAATAACTTTGAACATAACATTTATGTCCTATAGAGTTGTATTGTCACATTTCAGCTTAAGTAACTTGGTCAGTATTAAAGTAAGTGCTGGGTTAACTTAAAAGTCAGTTTCTGCTGTATAGGACGACATTATGATGGAGCGGCCGCTGCTCGCCGCCGCCAACGACTATCTGTGCAAGTGTGCGCCTGGATACTCAGGTAATTTTTAATTTAGTTAATTTATTATGTAGGTATAATTATGTCAACCCTTTCATCACGATGATGTCTTTCGTCATTAGATGTAAAAGGTAAGAGAGGAGAAATAAAAGTACTAAATATTTACAAAAGTGAGTTAACACAAAGCTGTCACTCAACAACCAAACTTATGGCCGCCATTGAGGAAAAGTAATAATAGATATGTCTCAATCTTAGATATTTTTATTGACAAACAATATGTATCCGATATGAAAGGAAACCAAGCACATAATCCCAATCATGTTCGTTATAGATAACATATTTTGACAACTGGGTCGATTACAACAGCTCTCAAACATCATTCGTGCTTGATGTATCGTCGCCCGCCCCGATATGTTACCAAACTTGTCTAAAATCCTTATGCATACCTTGCACAAAGGGTTACATATTACATCATTTTAAAGATTAGCGTCTCATTGGTTTTGTGATGCGTTACCACAGATGGTTTGAATGTAGGCTACTAGATTTAATACATAAATATCTACTTCTACGTAACAAAGTAACTTTAGTTAATGTAATAATAAAGTTGCACTGCATACTCTAACACACGTCCATTTTCTGGCTAGGCTACGCACCGCTCCGTTCAAAACGTAAATGAAATATAGTTATTTGTTATGCAAGGCTGCAAAGTTGTTGTTTGTTTGTTTGTTTGCGAGTGCTTGTATTGAAACCTGAGCAAGCGAGGATCTCAAGACACGAGATGCAAAACAACTTTGCTTCTGTGCGACCCACAAACCTTTTTACCTCACTAAAGTGAGGAAAATGGTAGATGAAAGTAAAGTACCCCCTTTCCAAAAAAAAAAAGAATCATGAAAATCGGTTCACAAATACCGGAGTTATCGCGTAACATACATACAAAAAAAACATAGTCGAATTGAGAGCCTCCTTCTTTTTTTGAAGTCGGTTAAAAATATACCAACGGATTTATATTACATAACTAATGTACGACAAATCGCGTAGTTTAACGTGTCATTGTGTTTAGTTTTTCATTTCTTATTGTCAAATTCAAATTTCGAAACCTTTTCCACGCTAGCGTGCAAAAAACGCTTTCGCGCGTAGATTTCTAAGAAGAAAGCCTTTCTGTGCTAGTGAGGTGAAAAAACTAAATTGTTTGCAGGCCGCCTCTGCGAATACCTCACGTCACTCACGTTCAACCACAACGACTCACTGGTCGAGCTTGAGCCACTCCGCACCGTACCACAAGCTAATGTTACACTTGGTAAGTATACCTCCAAGAAAAAAGTTGAAAAATCACCAATGATCTTGTTATTGAATGTCACAAGAACTGGCTTTGGCATATACTCAAATTGCACAATCTACTAACAGATTGCGTCAGCCGATAAAATAATAAGAATAAAAAGAATTCATTTCCAATCACAATGATGTTGATCTTCAGCCATTCGTCAGAGATTCGTCCGTCGCCATCGGGCGCTTGTCACGGTCGGATTTGTGTCAAATTTTCTCCGCTAGTTCTCTTTTATTCATATTAATTTTGACCGCGCGGGTTGCGCGACGTGTCGAGCGGCCCTCCACATTTCACCTCTTAGAGTGGCAAGCGAATTTAAGTAAATTGCGCGTTTGTGAAATAGCATCGCTACACTTGCGATTTATAGGCGACTGCATCGATGCAAACTCGCGATTGCATCGATACAAACGCGCAACTGCATCGATACAAACGCGCGACTGCATCGATACAAACTCGCGATTGCATCGATAGAAACGCGCGACTATATCGATACAAACTCGCGATTGCATCGATACAGACGCGCGACTACATCGATACAAACGCGCAACTGCATCGATACAAACGCGCGACTGCATCGATACAAACTCGCGATTGCATCGATAGAAACGCGCGACTATATCGATACAAACTCGCGATTGCATCGATACAGACGCGCGACTACATCGATACAAACGCGCAACTGCATCGATACAAACGCGCGACTATATCGATACAAACTCGCGATTGCATCGATACAAACGCGCGACTATATCGATACAAACTCGCGATTGCATCGATACAAACGCGCGACTGCATCGATCCAAACGCGCGACTGCATCGATACAAACGCGCGACTATATCGATACAAGCTCGTGACGGCATCGATACAAACGCGCGACTGCATTGCGTTTCTATCGCTGCTAAAGGTCGCCGTGTCTAAAAATGTAATATAATATAATGAAATACCTCGCGTTAAGTAATACTGGAATAATTTTCAGTATTCAGCACCACGCAACAGCACGGCGTTCTGATGTATTTCGGGGAAAGCGAACATCTCGCCGTGGAGCTTTTCAACGGCCGCATCCGCATCAGCTACGATGTGGGAAACCATCCCACATCTACCATGTACAGGTATGCTCATGACTAGTTACTGTTGTTAATTATTTTTACAGCCGAATTGAGAACCTCCTCCTTTTTTGAAGTCCGTTAAAAATAGTTGCGTAAACAATCACATCGATGCCTTGCTTTCTCAAACACGTCTTATATAGTGAGTGATATCAGAGGTGTTTACTTTTTGCCTTTCAATAACTTTGTGTTTTAAGATAGATAGATAGATAGGTATCACGTTTATTCAGCACAAATACAAACAGAAACATAACATTTACAATCACTTCACAGAGTATAACATAAAAGCACATAGATCATTCATTATTAATTTTAGACACATTTATATAAAACACATACTGTGAGATAAACAAACAAATACTATAAGAACTGATAAAATTTTAATGTACCTATGACTACAGTTTGTGCTGAAATGGCCCCGACTCAGCATAAATACTGTAGACCGAGAGAAGTCAAACAATGCTGGTTTTCTGCTAGTACCATATGGTGAGCGATCGCAGCCCAGTAAGCCATGCCACCAAAGTGCATCACACGCAAATATATATACCTAACTACTATACATATATATCAAGTATAATCTCAGTATAGCGTACTAAAAAAACCGACCTCAAATAATAAAAATCCCCTAGTTCGCCAATATACAGAACTTGACACTGGATATAATAAAAATCGGTTCTCACTACTCAAAGTATATTGAGAGAAAAACGCCTTGAATTGGAGAAATAGCAAAATCAACCATTAAAATAATTGCTCCTAAATTAAAGTAAAGCGCTATTTATAAAAATGAATCCATGAATCAATGAATTCATGCGTGAACAGCCACCTTTCAAGGTGGATTATTTTTTTCAAAATGAAATGGGACCACTATGGATGTACCCTCTTTCTAACAAAAAAGAATCATGAAAATCGGTTTACAAATACCAGAGTTATCGCGTAACATACATACAATAAAAAAAGAACATACAGTAAGAACCCCTCCTTTTTCAAGTCGGTTAAAAAGTGTAAAATGTAAAGCAAATAATGTAAATAGTGCAATTAATGTAGGTAAGCAATATAACTAATAATATAAGTTTACAAACATAATATTCAATTGTAACAATAGCCACCAAATATGAATATATATAGGTACGGAAATTCAGATTTACAGGTATTAAATCCATCGATTAGGGAAACATCTGTGTAGCGAGACACATCTGCTCAGACAAAAGATGTTTTTTGTATTCACGCTTAAATGGTTTTTTATATAAATACGAGTTTGAGAACGTAAGGCGACGAAATCAACCTGAACAGCGTGCGACTAGGTATTAATCTGGTGGTAGTTCTTGTCTGACAATGTAGTGTGTGGTGTTGTATGCAGAAAATATCAACCGCCTGCTGTGCATGAAATTATGGCAAAGTTAAGATAAAAATATAAACTAACTACCCTATTAACCCTAACGGTGAGACCTCAAGAGTCGTTCCAATGAATTTATCCAATAGTGTAGCCCTACAACCTAACGGTGTGTAGCCTAACCTAACCACAAATATATCGACGGAGAAATATATATGCCAGATATGAACGGGAAGTCTGTCACCATGAGACCTAAGGTGACAAACGGAAGGTTGCAAGGAGATAAGGAAGTACACGTCGTGCAATGTGTACTGGAATGGTATTCTCACTGCCAGTCAAGCAGACTCACAAGACCGATCTACTGATGGCTAAATGTGTCTTGGTCACAGTGAGAGGAGTAGCGGGTAGTACTAAGCAGAATGATGAGTTAAAATCTGTGTGCGTTATTGTTATATATTATATATATAGATTTTTCTTAGTGTGCTATGTGTGTTCGTTGCCGACGAAGCTCTTTTCTGTTAAGTAGTGTATTATGTCACTGTGTTGCACTTGCTGCCTGATGATGAGGCCATTTCTTGTGACAGTTTAAATGTAAGTTACTATCTTGCATTTTGTTGTTAAATACATGATGTTCAAAGTTGAACACAACCCTTGCTATTTTACAATTGCTATGGTTGGTATTCATCATAATCATCGATCGATATGAATTATTAACAATCATAAATAGCGCCACCTATTCGTCACGATATTATTGACAAAGCAACGCCATCTAGTGGCAGGGTGACGTATTTATTTACTGTCTAGTACTATTTATGGACTTGTTATAGTTGTAAGGCGGGTGTTGGTAGATAGGGTCGCTAATAAAAGATTAAAATTGTGTAGGTTAACTAGAGACAAGCAAGATGAACTATTATTATTAACCGATTAAAAAAAAAAGAAGATTTTCAATTCACATTTTCAACCGACATTTGTAAACCGATTTCTACTTCAATAGTGGCCTCATTTAAACTTGAAGAAAATATTCCAGCTCTAATTTGTGGCAAATAAGGGGACGAATTCGGCTTATTGGATTTCATCTACTTTCTATAAACCGATTTAAACAAAGCTTGGCGAAGCTTTATTAAGTATTATATACTATAATAATAAGTAATTATATACTTTCAGTTTCGAAATGGTATCCGACGGTTCCTACCACAAAGCAGAGCTTATAGCCATAAAAAAGAACTTCACTCTCCGCGTGGACGACGGCCCAGCCCGATCTATAATCAACGAGGGGGTCCACGAGTATTTGAGACTCGACAGGCCCATGTTCATCGGTGGCGTGCCCGAGGAGACTGCGAGAGACGCCTTTGCTAAGTGGCACTTGAGGAATATCACTAGCTTCAAAGGTGAGAGTCCAGACTAGGGGAAATGTCGCTTGGGTAGGAATGAGGTACATGTGCGTGGTGTGCAGGCTGCCTGCGCTCGGCGTGGGTGAACCACAAGCGCGTGGACTTCGTGAACGCGGCGCGCACGCAGCGCACGGCCGCGGGCTGCGGCGAGGACGAGCCCCCCGCGCCCCCGCTCTCCTCCGCGCTGCAGGAGGACGGCGGCCACTACCAGGTGAGGCCTTTTTGGACAATACCATGGGAAGGGACGAGCATCCGTGACAGTTGCAGTCTGTCAATTCCGAAGTCAAAGTCAAAGTCAAAGATTATTTATTCCATAAGTAAAATAAATTTACACTTGAAATCGTCACATTTAAGCTACTGCTCGTTCACTACGCTGACCTCCCTAAGAAAAACGAGCAAGAAACTCTAGGGATTGCTCTTTTCAAATAAACTTAAATGCTATAGAATACATTTTTAATCATACTTGTGTGGAATGTAGACTCTTGTTGACTTTCCATACATCTTTATCTAACACGTAGTCTTCAATTTTGTAATATGATTTTTCGATCAAAATATTTTTAATGTAGTTTTTAAACTTAGGAAATGATAAACTTAATATATGCTCCGGAATCTTATTGTAAAAACTGAAGATCTAAGAAGCACTGCCACTGCACCAGCACCCTTGCCCTTATCCTTCAAAGCTGGAACGCAGTAATGCTGACATTACTGCTTGGCAGCAGTAATAGCTACGGTGGCAGTACTTCCCTGGACGAGCTCTTTCACAAGGACCTCTATTCTGTTTATGGTACCGTCGTTGTTTCCAATTTCCATAACACAAATACTTTGGTTACTTAATTTCGGATCAGAGCAACGTTTTGTGATGTTGTCTGATATTTCGACACCTCCTACGTAAACTATGGTATGTCGAAATTATCAAGTTTACAGGGGAGCCTTATTTCAGTGAATTCAGAACTTTAAAAGGCTGCATAACACGTGACTTTAGCATTTCTTAATTTTATTCGGCAAACTCGTTACTCACATAGAGTATTATAAAATCCTAGATATCGGTTAGATGATGTATTAGATGATCACTCTATGTGAGTAACGAGCTTTGCCGAATAAAACGGAGAACTTTAAAACGCTCCCCTGTAAACTTGGCAATTCCGACATACGATACTTTACGTAGGAGGCGTTGATTTATTTATTTATAAACATCCCTCTATAAGGCACGAGTCTCCAGAACGCTGTTGAGTGATTAAAACCGCAGCTGACTTATAATTAACTAGATCTGCCAACACAACAATTAAAGGGAAATTCCCCGACGCAAGCTATAGATGGCGCCCATCGATTTTACGCCCATAGTACGCAGGATTTTTTTCATAAGAGGTCCACAGCGACCCCGACGAGCCTGTCATTAGCTACGTTACAGACCAGCTAGAACGCAAAACACTCCACACCAAATTACTTCCTAATTCAACGTGTACACGCGCAGATCCTTCCCTGTAGCATGCCCTTCTGCCGATAATTATCCAGGAGGATTCTGCGCCGTGCCCACCTACGTGCCCTGAGACGAAAGACGAAAGAATTATACGGGTCATAAACCTTCAGCTCGCACATTTGTCTAGTAGAGCAGTCAAGGTCATCAACGACCAACTGCAAAATATCCTTCAGAAATAGACGAAGCCCCGGGAAATTACTGACAACTGGTTAACACTGTCACGTCGAGTGCTGCTACTTCCGCCATTACCGTTCTAGGGAAGAGTATGCGAAACTTTTCCTATCTTCTTGAAATATTCCTCATAAAACAACTGAAAACTACTTTAACTGGATTCGGTTACGTCATCAAAATGTTAAAGCATCGCTTACAGTGATGAATTTTTATTTCGGCGTTTAGTTATGGCGTCCCGATATATCGGTAATTGAATTTTTCCGGAGTGATTTTCAGAAATACCAAGACTTTCAACTGTTTGGGGGTTACTTTTGGTTGGGTTTCTTTACCTGTTCTACGACTGATTAATTGGTGGTCAGGACCCGTGTGTGCCGAACCCGTGCGCGCGCGGCGGCCGCTGCGTGCGCGAGGAAGGCTCCTCTTCCGACTACACCTGCAAGTGTCCTCCTGGCACTGCTGGAGCGCAGTGCGAGCTCAGGGCTTCTATCGGTAAGTGTTTCTTGTAGTCAGATTTAATCAATTAAGACACTTAACCCATACTAACGAGGCTTATGGCTTCCATCATCGTCCACGACGTACTGATGAAGTTATACATTCAGGTTTCATATTAATGTTTTCCTGGCTCATCCTTCCATTAAGCACAAATACTCTTTACAGGCCTTGTTTATTTGCCCCACATTAGATTGCTAAGTTGCAAATTTCCCCAAGCGAAATGGGAATTCAAGTTTCTTCCTTCAATTTGACCGCAACTGGTCAAGATTTTCAAAATATATCTTCTGCAGGAGGTGCACCAGTGATCCAGAACAAGAAGATACAGCCTCGTAAACCAGCTATCAGTAACGTGCAAGCTTCGCCTGGTAAGCTTTTAATTTCTATTGTGATCTTTTGAATAGAATAGAATATAATAGAAAACGTTTATTTGCTAGAATACAGTAATGATAAAGGTCTTAAATAAAATTAGGTACATTGTATTCAACCTGCAAACAGATGTTTATCACATGTTTGGTTTCTACTGTTAATTGCACTTCAAATTAATGTAAATTTTTATTTGGAAATTCTAAGTGTTCTTTATTACTACAGAAGCAATGTGTCAAAAGCCATTGGGTCAATTGTAATTTAAAAGTATGTCCTTGGAACAATTTAATTTCATTTGGCAGATTGTTGTAAATAATTATACTCATGTTGAAGCAGTTTTTCTTATAAATTACTTTATGGCCACGAGGTTGGTACAGAAGATTCATAATTTTTGCTCTAGTCTGCCTTTGATTAATTTCACCACGTGTTTTGAAATATTGAGGATAAGTTTTGACAAATACACAGATATCCCTAATGTACATGCATGGCAAAGGCAGTATGTTTAGTTTTTTGAACAGCGGTTTACAGCTGTTGTCGAACTACGCACCGCAGATCGCCCGAACACACTTCTTCTGAACCTTAAACGCACTATCTACGATTATTGAATTGCCATACAGTATAAGACCGTAGCTAAGCACAGACGAAACGTAGCCGTGATACGCCGTCAATGCTGCTTCACGAGAGACAGTTTGCCTTTATCTTCGTAGAGCGTAAACAAATCTATTTAGCTTTATACAAATCTGCTCGATATGTCCTTTCCAGCTTAGGTGCGTGTCAATTGTTAATCCAAGAAAATTAAATGTGTCGACTTCGTCTACGGTGTCAGCATTGTATTGAATTGTAATTGGTATAGGATTTGAATTGTACGATCGAAATATCATAATTTTAGTTTTACTTATATTAATATTTAAGTCATTGAAGTTCATCCAATTTATTATATCTGCCAATGCTTTGTTTATGTCGGTGTTAAATGTCGCTTTATCTTCACATTTTATCATAATTGTTGTATCGTCAGCAAATCGTATACATTTATGGTTAGTTGCATGTGGGAGGTCGTTAATGTATAAGATGAACAGTAACGGACCTAGCACGCTATTTTTATTATCTCCGGTGTCAAGTCCTGTATAGTGGCGAACTAGGGGATATTTCAATAAACCTTAGGAAATAGACGTAACTCCACGTACTTTTGAGGTCGGTTTTTTCCCTAGATGAACTCTTTCACCAGGAGCTCTACTGCTACTGTTTGAAACATTCACTCTCATGCGTTCTCTTGGTTAATAATTCTTGCCGCAGGTTCACGTAAACCATCGTCATCTTTGGTCAAATGTTGGTCGTTTCCATCTTTCATCAATCGATTGACTCTATTTTCATTATATTCCAGCTGCGCCCGCCCACAAGCAGCACTTCGCTGAACACTCTCCCGCGCAGCCGACACCCGCTAATCCTGGATGCAAAAAGGTATGTAATATTTATTGTGATTTTAAACTTTAGTGTTCTATATGTATCTTGTTTGTTACTTTTTTAAAAGATACGTCACATATTTTGCTTCGATCCCAAGCTAAGTAACTAAAGTACTTGTGCAGTGGAAGTCGGAATCAACGACGGTACCACAAACATCACATCCGAGACAATATACAAGAGTTTTTTATTCCACATCGACCCGGCCAGCGATCGAACCCGGGATCTCAGAAATGATATTATGAAAACCGGTGTACAAGCCACTCGACCACGGAAGCTGTTAAATACAATCGCGCTAGTTAGCCATTTCTAATGCACACTGTTCCGTGTCATAGGTTAGACTATGGTCTTTTTTTGTTGGCAACTCATAAGCTGGCTATTGATCGGTGAAAGAGATGGCAGTAGCAAAGTGCGTGTGTTGGAGGAGGATGAGGGATATAAAGAAGGAAGTCCACGCAAGTGTTACGATACACCCTAGAGGCACTGTGTTGTATAAATGTCCAATGCAAAAAAAAATATTAAATCCAAAATATTGTAAATGATAAATGTGTACAAATGTATATTTACAGTAGAGTTTAACCAATGCGACGACTTCAAGTGCAAGTTGCTAGGCTATGGAATAAATAGTTTAGTTAGAATTTGAATCTCGTTGCAGGAGGCCACACGCGAGTTCGTGACGGAAGGCTCGTGCCGCAGCCGGCGTGCGGTGCGGGGGGCGAGGTGCGCCGCCACCAGGAACGGCTGCCCCAAGGCCAACTGCTGCACGGCAAGGAAGACCAAGAAGAGAAAGGTACCAATCTAGATTTTCTCTTTATAACCAGTTCTAAGAGAGTTTCAAGCTTTTGTCTGTAACTCTCATGACGATGGAACTTTATTTGAATATTAAATTTAGTAGCTTTAGAGCTCCTTGCGCAAGAGTTCGTCCGGGGAAGTACTGCCTACCTTACCTATTTCTGCCGCCAAGCAGCAATTTCAGCATTACTGTGTTCCGGTTTTGAAGGGTAAGGGTGCTGGTGAAGTTACAGGCACATGGGACTTGTCAACTTATGTCTCAGGGAGACGGGCACAATGGCAATGCCCCTCAGATCTTAGCGATTTAAAGCTCTGAGTGACACTGCAACTGTTATGGACAGGCGTGTAGCTTAACATCAGACGCACGACTTGTTCGTCCCGTCACTTGATGTTATAAAAAAATAGGGAGATTCAGATGTTTAAAGATCGCTAGCTGTTTATCTTTACCTGTTAGGTAATGAATATTTATTTTACTTCCGTTTGTCCTATTCGGTATACAATATCAATAATTATTTTGTTAAATATACGTTTTGTTCCGGACAGATTCGCCTGGTGTGCTCGGACGGCACCCGCTACACCAAAGACGTGGAGATCGTGCGCAAGTGCGCCTGCGGCAAAAAGTGCGCGCGCGCACAGGGCAGCTTGTTCCTGCATTGAGGGGTGATGGAGAGACTCATGCCGTGGGGGGTGGTAAGGTTATACAGTATTACCAAAGTAATCAATATGCGACAGACTAGAGCAAATACAAAACAACTGTAGATTCATGATCGTAAGTGGCGCCACTAACCATTGTGATTGTTGACATGTCAATGTCACTTGGCTGTCAAACGTCGCCAGTTTTTGACTGACTCTCAGTATTTTGTTCATATTATTTAAAATTATTCCAAAACCTACCAATAGATGGCGCTCAAAATTACTTGCACGTTAAGATTAGCAAACAAAACGTCTGGAATACGTAAAAAATGAGGCAATTTTTTATGCCATCTTTCACCCTCCACCGGAATAAACACCAGCTTCAATATCGAAAACTGCCTAAATATCTCAAATAAATAATAAGTCAACCAATATTAAAACAAATAACGTAAGTTTCAACTAGGTACTCAATAAACGAATGTATAGTTTCTTGCACAGATAGTGTAGTATTTATAATACCTCTTATCGCCACAAGATGGCGTTGATAGTTTGTTAAATGGAACCGTCGTTTTAGGAACCGCCATTAACTTGTTTAAAAAAAATTCAAAGCTCGGAACGGCCGTAGACAATAAATTATTGGAAATTAAAAAAAAGACATTTTGAAACATTTTTTAGCCATATTGAAAAACATTATAAGCGTCTTTACATCTTTTCATAGTAGCTTAAGGTTTGTAGTTGTTTTGCTTTAGTGTAATGTCATGTATCTGACCTATTACAGTCCACTGCTGTTTCTGTAGCCCCTATTTGAGATTAGGACAACAGTCACCATCAGTTAGTCCTTTTCTATGACAGCTACGCACGTCATTTGTGACATTAAACTAAAGACACAGTAGACCACTATTAACGAATTTAATCGATCGATTGTAAGGTTTACACAAGTGTAGTAGCGGCCTAATATTGTTAGGGTCGACACCCATTTAGACTGCACGTACGGCACAGTGTAACAGATGATATTACGCAAAGACTATTGTTGATATTTAAACTTTTTTTTTGTCTTCGGTTTATAACCATTGCTGTTGGTGGTTAGTTGAGTGTTAAAAATACCTCTAAAAATAACTCTACCTCTAAGACAGTTAGTTTAAGATTTCGTTGAAAGTTAAATTCGTTTAAAAACAATGTGCAATGTAAACTCGTCGGAATATATTTCATTTTTATCCAATGCTCCCGAGCATTGGATAAAAATCAATATACTACTGTCTATCAATATACTATATATATAGTAAATATATATAGTATATATCAATATACTATACTTTTGAACAGGTCCGTATACAATTCAGCTGCGTGACTTGTACATACTATCTTTGCGTGATTTCTCAGAATGTTTATTATTATGTATTAGCAAGCGTGTGATACGTGCCAGCCAATGTGTGTCCACCTTTAGAATCCAGTAAAAAAACTGTCTAAGGTCTGTAATAAAGTTTTAACAATCATTTTTAATAACATTAATAAATTAAAAAAAAATCTTTTGTAGCTATAATTATTTAAATAAATGTTTTATTTTGTAATAATTCTTACTCAATCGAAAATATAATTTTGAATATGTGTTCATTATTTGATGTAATTAAAAAAATATATTTATTATTAATTTTTAATTGTTTAAACAATAATTTCGTAGTATTATTAATGTATTAATTGCTAAGTTATATTTTATAATGAAAGAGTAGCTTTAATATATTTATATTTAAAAAAAATATGTTTTGCAGGCGGCCATATTGTGTTTTTTAATAATAATTACTCATATACTTGCCAGCTCTCTGTAAGATTAGAAAGAACGCTATAAATTATAAGTCAATGTATTTTCCGAGTTTGTAAATGTGTAGGTTATCTCAAAAGGCGAACTATGGCCGGCACGGCAGGGAACTTTTAGGTGTGGAATCATATTATGCCTTAATGTTATGTTATTATAGTTGAAATTTCAATTATAATGGTCGTAACTATAAAAACAAAACTGTGGTGAGCTTAGAACGAACCGGTAACCTCCGGCACGCCTCGGCAGCATTCGGGATACTTCGGCAGGTTTCCGATGGTTATTCACCCAAAATCTTCTTGGAATATGGTTCTATACTTCAGCAAACCAGCTTGCAACGTAACGACTGATCTCTGAATGGGCGCCGAATAAAAGAGGTCAAAGTACACTCGGCAAGGGCAATTGGTACTTCATGCAGCAAACTAATTCATATGAAGTAACTTTGTACCGGCAGCGTTGCGAGCAGCATTGCATTATGTGAAAATAATTGATCACCATTGATAAATGTGCATTATATATTATCAAAATTGTCTTCATACTCAGCTACGAATGACAATGGAGTACGTAACATTTTACGAGAAGTGGCAACCCTGCGAACGTGATTTTACGCCATCTTGGAAAAAATATAATATAGTGAACAAGTTGCAGAAAGTTTCTATAGTTCTCAACAGATGTCGCTTTATTAAAATTGATTTGAAAGTAAAGTTTATTTTAAAGATTTATAATATACAATAACGATTATATTGTCATTTTGTTATATTCAATGCAATGATGAACGACTTTATGAGATAACCTTGTAACATATAAACCGATGTTTAAAAATTTGGCCTCGATAAACAAATATTAGTCAATGTTAAACTATAACCCTTATCAGAGTAAGTTAGGTTCTTTTATATGTTCAGGATTTTACAAAATAGTTGCAAAGTAACAAGAGGATAGTTAAGCGAGTGCTGTCTATCCTAGTTTGATTGAATCCAGTTTCCCGTTTTCCACATTACACGAGCTAAAAATAAAAAATGTCCACATTCATGATGAGTTTTCAAGACATTACAACATTGGCTGAGGATTTCTGTTGTCGCTCTTACGTAAAAGCGCTCGCGTCACGACCGATAGAGATAGCAATAATATAATCAAATACCGAACGCTCCGGAGTGACCTAATAAAACCTTTTGCCAATCTACTGCTATCTGGTCCAGGAGTATTCTGCCATAATCGCCACATCTGGCATTCAAGTTGGCCGCCGTCCTCCTAGCTTCAGTCACACTGATTCTTGGTCGATGTTTTTAAACCTTTTTGTAATATCCTGCTATCATATCTTTCATGCTATCGACTGTATTCTATAATTTATTAACAGATTAATTTTTATTATACACTGACAAGATAAAGCCTTTTTGGGAAATTTTAAAGAATTCGTTCAGAGCAAAACAATTCATTCCGTCATTGCTCAAGGAGTCTTCATTCATAATAATTTACAACTCATTTATTTGTGGAATCACAGGTTCAAAAAGTGATAGCTTGACTTCACACGTGCTTTTGATTGCGTTTCTATAAATATCTTGTTGGAAAGGTTATGGCGATGTGGTTTGTCTCCAAGTGCATACAACTGGTTTGAGTCTGATCGCAGTCAAAAGAAATGTTTGAATGCCCATGGGGATATCTCTACTTTCAAACCTCTACCTGTAACAAGTGTTCCTCATGGCTCAGTTCTTGAACCAATTCTTTTTGCTGTTTATACTTGTCAGTATATAATAATGATTTTATTTGTATTGCCAATATGTTGCTAATTGACGTAGGCTTAGCGATTGTAAATTTTTGTTAGATCATAAGAAAGTATATTAGTTATTTCTTTCTAAAACTGGACTATTTAGCTACATCATTTTTTATAATACTTCTGATAAAAATGCATTCCACAAATATCAATTTTGTGAAATGTATCTTGCAGTCATTTCATAATATGCCTAATCTGAATAGACTCTTTATAACCTATCAAATTTAATATGTTGATGATGTTGGCCTATTACTACTCTCGATGTCATTAAACAACTATGAGTAATAACAATAGAAGTTTTTGACTTCCATGTTGCAACCGTATTAAAACGAAAGCCAGCCGATATTGATATTGTCTTTTTAGCTGCCAAATAGACCAATTTTTCTACTGACTTTGTTACTCTAAATTTAATATAATTTTTAAGATCAAAATGCAGGAATGTTGGATGTCCAATAAATCTGTCAAACATCTCAGTGTTTCCGCTTAATATACAGCTCTTCTGTTCTACCAATTATTTATCAAAGTTTTTTGAACTGTTGAATGGCCTCTGACAATTGCTGAACTGGTAGAAGATTTGGTCTATAATTATGGTAGATGATTAAAACAGTGGTATTTTTATGGACATAGAAGATGTTGTCTTAGTCGGTTATAATCAATATTGAAAATAAAAGAAAATACTTAATTCTGGCTAAAGTTGTTTAATGTCATAAGGCGAGAGAGTGAATAAGCATTGTATACGTGTGAATGCTCCATCGTCGACCTCATGATTACTTCGCATGAGTTGGAAGTCAAATGTGTACTCGTTTTTTTTTATCAAAAATATTACTGTTTTCATAACAATATTCGCACTTAATTTATAAAATTTTTTTAAATTTAAAAAGTATAAAGCCGCCATAAACACTGCCGTCTTTACTAAAATAAACTTTATAATCAGTATTGCCATATGAAAATGAAGAAATATTACCATCTTTGGTATTTTTGTAGAGTATTTCTTTCTATTATTAAGTAAATAGTTAAGTAGATATAGATAAGTAAGCTTAAGTTATGTAAAGATCGATGTTTTTCGCTTAAGTACCCGCTATATAAAGCGGGGCATGCGCTTTTTTAACTAATAATTATAATTAAACAATATTGTCTATGAACTTTATAATTTATTTGATGTAATAAAAACGATGTTAGACACATTTGTTTTGTTTGTTTACATAATTATAGTTTCTGCAATTCGAAAAAAGAAAATAATTACAATGGGACGCTTCAGTGCCTTCTCAGTTCGCCGTTCAAAAGTTATAAGGGTGCTTTACTGTCAACACTGGAATAAGCTTAGAATAATAACGCATAGGATGATAGTTTAATATCAGAACTGTCACAAGTGAGGCAAAAATTAAACTCATACAGGCGTAACCAGCTCGTATTTGCGTTCGTCGGCTCGCACACAAATTACAAATAATGATGCCATAGAATAACATTTCCCTCAAAAGTGGGGAAATTGTCTCTTGCTTAATTCAAATAAATACAACCCAATTTTTATTTAATTCATAATATATGAACAAAAACCTAAAAGCTAGTTTGAGTGCGACTCTCGGAATTTCACTTTATTTCATGAAAATTTGTACATATAAATAGCCTGATATTATCCGTGGACAAACACATGAAAAGTGCGTGATACCAATAAAGAACCCGAACCTGAAAGTTATCTGTACACGACTTTGGAAGTCAAAGTCAAAGATTATTTATTCCATAATGATTCCATAGGTAAAATAGTAAATGTACACTTGAAAACGTCACATTTATGCTACTGCTCGTTCACTACGCTAACCTCCCTGAGAAGAACGAGCAAGAAACTCTAGGGATTGTTCTTTCAAATAAATTTAAATGCTATGGCATACACTTTGAATCAAATTTGTGTGGATTCTGGAGCCGTGTCGTCTTTCCATACATCTTTATCTAACACGTAGTCTTCAATTTTGTAATATGATTTTTCGATCAAAATATTTTTAATGTAGTTTTTAAACTTAGGAATGATAAACTTAATGTATGCTCCGGAATCTTATTGTAAAAACGTATATAGTTCCCCATAAAAGAGTTGTTTACCTTAGTTAAACGAAATCGTGGTACCATTACCATGAGTTTGGACTTAGCTCTAAGGTTAATATTATGGATATCTTCTTTCTTATTGAAATTATGTATATTTTTACGGGCATATAAAATATTTAAGTAAATGTACTGCGATGCCACAGTCATGATACCAGTCTCCTTAAACTTTTCTCTGGGAGAAACCCGAGAGCCTAGACCGTACACAGAACGAATCGCTAGTTTTTGCAATACAAATATGGTTTGAATATCTACCGCTTTACCCCACATGAGAATCCCGTAGGACATTATACTTTGGAAGTAACTAAAGTAAACTAGTCTAGCAGTAAACATCGGTAAGCTCACGTATTCTGCGGACTGCGTGTGCAGCGGAACTTAAACTGCTGGCCAGGGAAGATATATGTGGAAACCATTAAAGTTTACTATCTAAGGTCACTCCCAAGAAGACTGCTTTATTAACAAGGTCTAACTTTTCTCCGTTTATTTCTATGCTTGGACTAGTCGATTTTACGTTAGGTAATTCAAATTTAACACATTTTGTCTTCTTGGCTTGGCAATCTATTGCTTAATGCAATAGATTGTTAGCATTAAACCAATAAACTACCTTAGAGAGGGTATCATTAATATGGTCATAGGTAATGTCATCTCTGTCTGTTTTAAAAATCAAGGATGTCTCATCAGCAAACAACACTATTTCGCAATGGTCCTTAACAAAGAACGGCAGATCATTAATATAAATCAGAAATAAGCAAGGTCCAAGTATTGAGCCCTGCGGAACACCCATTTTTACCGGAGAACCCAAAGAAGACACTCCATTTATGTCTACTTACTTTCTGAATTCTACTGTTGAGATATGACGAGACAAGTTTCGACGCCTTGCCATTTACACCGTGGAGAACTGGCGATGACTTTTTTTAGTAAGTATTAGTTCCCTGAAATTAGTTAAGAATTCTGAGTATGGCAATTTTTTTAAATGTGTCCTGTATGATGAACAAGAATAATGAGTTTCACGTGAAACTAATGAAGGCAAATACTAATATGTTCCGTAAAAATAGCTAACGTAAATTCCTTACAATGTTGTTGCGGCTGTATACATTTGTAGAAATTCTGCAACCGCAGCGATAATGCCTATTCTCGAAAATTTACGTAATATAATTATTTTGAAGCGGAATAGCAAAATGGGGAGAAAAAAATCCGTTACTTTGCAACATTTTCGTATCCTGTTGCAACGAAATTATTTTTCTGGTTTAGTGAATATTTACTTAAAAATATAAGTTGAAACACGTATTTTATGTTTGTCTTGACGTATTTTTACACCAATTTACCATACTTTTAGCTAAAATTCTGGAGCTGTTTGCGGTGCGAATTGACGGCCCGCCCACTCGTGTAAGCCTATTTGGGTCCCTACAACTTGCCTCACTAGGCGTGTGCGGACTAGGTTTCTGTGGCTTATTCCAGCGGCACCATTTCTCAATCTCGAGAAGAAGCTTCCTCGAGAACCACAGCACCTAGCTTAGATTTTTTTTTTATATGTGACGAGCCAAACAAGTCGTGCGCCTGATGGTAAGCCACACGCTTATCCATAACAGTTGCAGTGCCACTCAGAGCTTTAAATCGCAGTGTTGGTTTCTACAAACACTTCGTTTTCCTCTCCGCCTTCTTGCGGCACTCTTGGTTGAAAATTTTGAGGGAATGGATCGGCTGCAGTACCACCTCGCTCTTTAGATTCATTTTGACGGTAGCCTCGAAAATCAAGATTGCCCTGACGTTGTCCAACCTCAGGTACATCTTCTTAGAGCGCATTTATTCGCCCCGCGGGGTCGAAGAGCAGAGACCGCGTGCGTCTATCATGGCAAAATACGCTCTATTTGTTTAGCATTTAAGTTTTAATTTAAATGAGCGTTCCAGATACGCGGGCTAGCCTGGGTTCAATTTGGTCTACGCAGCGGCCCGCATAATAAATAGACTGCAGATTCGCCATTAATGTACATGAAGGCGTGGTAACCGGGCGGTAGCCACGCGAAAACTTTCTTTTCGTGTAAATGGGCGCTTAGGGTTCTAAGAATTTCTAGCAGCCCGATAGATGCGTAGGAGTCGCCAGCGGTGAAATGAAACAAATTGTACAAGGCTTAAATGTAATAATTTATTTATAAAATTTCACTCAGCAGTGATAAACAAAACTGAATCGTGCGCACAACTTAATTCCAGTTGTTATTCGTGTTTTTATAAAACAAAAATCATCGACTTCAAGAAGGAATTTTTTAAACTCCACTAAATCAAAGTTGCCAGCTATTTGCCGGATTGTCCACGCTAACTGGGACTTCTGTCGAAACGAGAGGCGGCTGTGCGGCAGAACGGCTACTGAGTAAGTTTAAAGACTGACAAGTTCAATTTGGACCGCCACCTGGCGGACATTTTGGAGAACTTAATTACTTTCACTTACAGCACGAACATTGACATCAAAAATCGACAACAGCGCCACCACTCCAGGGTCCAAAATAAACTTGTCAGCGTTTTATGTAAGGCCCGGCACCCACTCATGAGACGGCTCTGCAGAGAATTTTCTGGAGATCACAGGTTTATTTACCTTACAGCATTAGATTGCCTTATATTACATTGCGCATACATTGCGTTGAGAATTTGGGGCCTTAGCGCGTTTGTTCTAGAACACTCTGACCCATTTCGGATGTCGCTTGTGCACTAAGTCGGTTTCGAAGCCGAGAAAATACAAATATCGCAGTACACCTACAGATAAAATGATCCCTGTGACATTTCGGACCGTCATTTCTCGAATTTGGAACTGATACGAATCTTATAGCGGCATGCTTCGGGACACCTACGCTTCGCGTCGCGATGGGAAGCTTCTGCGTCCTGATTTTGAATGAAATAGATGTGTTTCTGAGCGAGAAGGCGAACCTGATTCCTACTATATCTTTCTAATCAGTGAGTTACATCAACTATTGTTCTCATTAGAAATGTCAAGTTTCCGATCGACCAGTTATAAATCGCAATTATGCGTCTCGACTCGGAAAAGACGCAGTTTCCGATTGGGAGAAAATCAAATCAAAATCAAGCTGCAGCATGCCTAAAGATGCCGCGTCGCGCCCTTGGCATTGTTGCCGTGTATGCTTGTAATGCATGTAAAGTTGCCGAAGGATCCACTACCAACCCGTCCCCATCAGTGGACACCGGGCCTAACGCTGACAAGCTTCATTACATATATATCTACTAAATACAGTTTCTATATGCTATGTAGTCAAACACGCTATTGCTATATAATATTATTATTACTTTGTTAAACATTTGGAATGAAAAAAGATTTATTTTTATATTATAGTGTGACAGTCTAAGGGAAACAACAAACGGGTGTAATTTCGTGAAAATGAGTAGAGTTCTTTCTGCAATGTAACTGGGTATACGAGTTGCTTATCATTTGTATTAATAAATTAAAATTTAAACCAACCCCGATACAAAACAGTGTCTATAAACTAACAACTAGTCGAGATCAGTTGTTGATAAGTTGGACAGTCTGCAGGACCTGATTTCAACACTAATTCAGATACTACGTGATTGCGTCTGAAACTTTAAAACGCTCGCCTGTAAACTTGCAATTTCGACTTACAATACTTTACGTAGGAGAGGTCGATATAAGTTTCTTGCTTGCAACGCCCTGTGCAATAGGCTCTTAGACATTTAAGCCGAGTTGTATAGGTTGACAAGTTGTTTGGACTCTGGCCTTATTGCGATGAATTTTCACCCACCCGCAATACCCATCAAGGAAGACAATGCTGGTGCCAGATTTTTACGGCAGGGTTCTAAGGGATAATTACCGTTGACCATTATTTTAATAAATGTACCTTGATGCAGATCGCGACACGTAAGTTGAACAATGCGCAGAAGTCGATTTTACGATCTCAACTGAAGTGCGATATGAGGTGCAACGATTTTAAGCGAGGCGTAACTAAGCAACGTAGCTACGTCTGCGCTGCCGCCCTTTAACTAAAACGCGGCAGTGTGACAAAATATTTTTTTGAGATATCTTAATAAAACAGTAAACCAGTTTTAGAATATTGAAAATATATTAAGTGCAATGTTACTTTAACTGTGCGTAAGCTCCAATATGTCGGAAACTTTTACCAACTTAACTGTTTTTAAATAGTGAATTTTGAGCTCTGTTTCATGCTTTTTAAAGAAAAAATTTGACCACTTATCACTTAACAGAGTTTTAGTTATTAGACAGCAGTGCGCCACAGTTAGTCTGCGGCCCTCGGCCTGAAAACTGCAGACCTGCGCAGAAGGCCGCCATTTTGCTAAACTTACGTGTCGCGATCTGTAATTATCATGACATTTCTATAATTAATTGGAACAAAGTGCTACCGTGACAATGTTTGTATCAGAGACGTGTCCAAGCGTGTCAAATATCAATCCAAAAAAAGTCACATTGTTTTACTCAAAGATTTTTCGTAACGTGTTTAATTAGTTTCCTCACTATATGTCATTTTTATACTATGAATCAGCATGGATAATTATCGGGCAAACACCAAAAAAATCGTGTTAACTTCGAACTTTTAGAGTCCAAAAGTTACTTCTACAGTTAACAGAGCTACTGGACTTTGGACCTTCTTATAAGTGGCATACATTTGAGTTTATCTTCTAAGGGAAACGTGCCGTTGTTCGTACTAGCAATGAGTAGTAAATTCATTAATACAAAGTAAGGTATCTTATGAAAGAAATTAGAATCCTTCTTGGTACGCTTTAGATTCCAGTCTTGTTTGCAGCAGCTCTAGTTGTCTTCGTGCTTCGCATTGAGGGAAGTTGTTGAGTTCGTAATATTGTGGCGCGATTTTTAGAAGCCATTCAGCTGTAAAAATAAGAAAAACGTAATTAATGGGGTAATTTAGTAAGAGTAGTTTCACATAAAAATAATTGAATATCAATTCAATAAAAATTTTAATACAATGAATAGCGACATCTCTAGCCGGGGCTGGTAGCTGTAAAGGTATCTAACTGGGTGACCGAAATATCATAGATTTCTCATAGATGGCGCTACGGCTAAAAAGTTGTTGAAAAACCAAATACTAAGATACGACGCAAGCACATATAAAAATTCGTGAGGTCCGCTGGTTCGTTCCGTGGCTTAGTGGGTAGCGTCTGGCACGGTACGCTAGAAGACGTCGTTTCGAATCCGGCCGGACTAATCGATTTTTTTCTGAGTTTGTTGTTTGTTTCGATCTTTGTATTAATAATTACAACAAACTAGTGGAGTAACTTCACATTAAAATAATTGAATATCAAATCAATAAAAATTTAAACAAGACGTGTCAGGAAACTTGCAGGCCTATTTTTCATTTTATTTAGAATTTTCATTCATAAGCTAAGCAAGACTCATATTTTCTAATTGCGAACATTTCATAAGATATGTTTTAATTGGTTATTGTCTAGCATCGAGTATATAACCAGAAAAAGAGACGAAATAAATCCATCCCTAGCAACTCATTAGTCAAATGGGTCTTATATCACTTTTAAATATCAACTCTCGTTTGTTCTGAAATCGCAAATTAGAAACAAACAGCGCCAACAACTGACTTGTGTGTACGTCTCCGTATATTCCAAAAATATCTGTATTTATTGTAATAAAGATAATATCTCTAACTATGCGGTGGTTTTCCAATCGGCGGTGTGTAAAAAATAGCAAAACATCTAATTACAAAATAAACGGAATCACATTTCATTGGTAATTAAATATTAAATATGTAATTTTTCAATTTTCTGGTTTTTTTTTACGGACACAATGTACTCACGTTTGATGTCGGTGACGGTGCGAATGTAATTCTTGGTGGTGAGGACAAACTCGTTGTATATGACCCAGTCGGGTTTGTGGTCCAAACACGTGGACGGGTGCAGCTGCACCGTCTGGTTGTCCTTAACCGTCAGGTAATGGCCCGTGCGCTCCAAGTGCGCTACCTGCAATGAGTCAGTTTCAGCAGCCATTACATTAATTTCTGCTCGAGTCTGTGGATCTACAGTAGCAGTAGAGCCCCTTGTGAAAGACTTCGTTCAGGGAAGTACTGCCACCTTGTGAGCGTTACTGCGTTCCGGTTTGGAAGAGTTAAGGCTGCTGGTGAAGTTACGGACACATGAAACTTGTCAACTTATATCTCAGGGTGACGGGCGCAGCGGCAGTGCCTCTGAAGTCTTTGCGATTTAAAGCTCTGAGTGGCACTGCAACTGTTATGGACAGGCGTGTCGCTTGCCATCAGGCGCATGATTTGTTCGTCCCGTCAATTTATATTATAAAAAAAATACTCTCGTTCTCAGTCTGACATCCGGGTTCAGACTACCGCACGTTACGTTGGAAATTAAACTATTTATAACCACCGACGCAAGAAGAGGTGGTTACAAGCAGACACATACATGTTTTTTTTTACGATGCCGGGAAGTACAAGTCGTCGGTCTGGTGGTAAGCGACTCGCCTAGCCATTAATAGTTGCAATGCCACTCATGAGCTTTAACCGGTCACCAGCATGCTGATTTTGGTTCAAATAGGAATCGAACCGATCGGGTGGTCTCGGAACCAGATGGGTTTCCGAGCGAACGAACTATTCATATATAGTAAAATCAACTATTGTTCCGATTTGAAATGTCAAAAGTTTTCGATGGGCCAGTTGTGAATCGCAATTATGCGCCTCGACTCGTACAAGACGCAGTTTCCGATCGGGAGGCAATCAAAATCAAGCTGCAGGTCCCTTTTGTACTTGGACAACGGTTCAAATTAACTAACCTGCATGAAGAATCCATTGACAAGTGCTTTCCTAATATTTATGTAGTAGTCTTTACTCGTGAACTCCGTACTTGTTCGTTTTAAGTTAAATCTGAAATAGACAATAAAAACAAATTGTTAATAAATACGTCAATGGCAATATGAACGCGCGCCCACACGATCACGCACTAGGGTATCCCTGTGCCATGGACATATTAATAGACAACCACAAATTACACCCAAACTCACGAGAGAAATAAATGTGGACCATACTGGCCTGTGGCCAACTGTCAAAATAAGAATAAAGGCAATATTGCAATTACTCATCATTAGAACGTCGTAATAAATACAATTCACACATTTTTGGCAAAATTTTACCGTCTTTCACAATCTATCGATAAAATTGTCGATAACAACTACATGCCCATTTAAAATTTTATGTCTTTTATGTCACTGGGTAACCAGTCTTCAAAAAAGATAGGACTATAAACCGTCCAGACAATGGACCAGTGTAGACTGATATATTTGTCAGTGTCTGCATGTTTGTACGTCAAATAATTTTCCAAATATATCAAACACCCAATATCGAACACAAGTTGCCATGAAATTGCCGCCAAAATGTACTAGCACTAAACATACCTGTCCATAATCCTGCTTAGTTGTTGTCTCACATTATCTCCGGACTTCAGAGATCTGTAGTTGATGAAGTTATCATAGCACCAGTGAGGATCTTCCATATCTGCAAATTATTGAAAACAATTTTTTTATGATACCAAATGACTGTACAAACAAGTAGTGCGCCTGGTGGTAAGCGACACGCCTGTCCATAACAGTTGCAGTGCCACTCAGAGCTTTAAATCGTAAAGATCTTGGGGGCAGTGCCGCTGCGCCCGTCACCCTGAGACATAAGTTGACAAGTCCCATGTGTGCTGAAATCCTCCTACAAATCCTTACACTTGGATACTCGTTCGATAGCGATTGAAATTTTCGATTTTGTAATCGATTACAAAAGCTTTAATTGAATGAACCGTATGTCTTTTTTCGTACAGCACTATGCAACCATAGACAAGTCATAGTTGAAAAATAACTTCACTTTTGGACTAACATTTTTCAAATATGTTTTTACGATGCTATTTAAATGAATATTGTTGGAAAAAATTATGAGATATCAAGTCGAAAACTTCGAAACATACGTGACAGTGTTTCTTATTCGATTTATTGCGTGATTGCTTTAGAATTTTAACCAAACAGTTTTGTTTAAAATGGATATATAGTCAATAGTATTGTAGCACTTACTCTGTTTGAATGCGTGGTAGACGTTGAGCAGCGTGAGATGATCTCCATCGATGTGGGCGAACCGCATTTTAGCCTCGTCTGCTGCTTTGCGAGCCTCATTAGGCCGCACGAAGCATTGTGGAACTATAAAAAATAATGTAATAATAATTATCTTAACCCAAAGAATAGATATTAGATTAAATAACTTATAGACAACCACCTCCAGACAGATAGTCAGGAGACGACACACAAATGGTATAAATTTAACCCCTCTCTTTTTGAGAGGGGGAATTCAGGAGCCTTGAACACCGCCGTAAAGTTGTTCATAGGTATTCTACAGGATATACCACGAACGAATTGCACGTTGTAATTGTAATTCCGCCTTTCCCTTTTCTATTTTCGGGGAACTTCTTTGTTAATGCCAAATGACAGGACAAACAAGTCGTGCGCCTGCTGGTAAGCGACACGTCTATCCATCTGCAACCCTTCGAAACCGGAACGTAATAATGCTCGCTCTGCTGCTTGGCGGCAGAAATAGGTAAGGTGGCAGTACTTCCCTGGACGGACTCTTTCACAAGGAGCTCTACTGCGGCTGTGTTGATAACATGATGATTTACTGGTTTGCTTATCCCTTGGAGAATTACTATAGGTGTTTACCTGATAACATAGCAGTGATAGAGAGTATCTCATTGGAGCAGTTGTGGTTACACGAAGCGATCAACATCTTCGCCAGCTGAGGATCGAGAGGGAATTCAGCCATCACTGCGCCGAGATCTGTCAGGTTGCCGTCGTCGTCTGAAACCAGAGATACTATTTAGTTATATTTATAGTCAGGATCTGTAATTGAATTCATTTCCGGCTCTCGTAGGATCAAAGATGTTCGTGTTCTAGATCGACGGTGTTCTTGATCGGTGGACTGTATTTGTTCAGATTCTTGCTCTTCCCGGGATCAGGATCGGAAATGAAACACTTGTTCAGCTGGCTTGCTACTGTGAAATGTTCCTACTTAAGTAAAAATATTGGTCTCTCAATTAGTAACGATGTTAGAGAATAGGCGGGTCAGCGCGGTGTGCTGTCGTTAGATGCAGTGCGGGTTGCGGGGGGACGCCTAAGAATGTGGTGGTAGAGGAACTAGGACGAAAGGTATGCAATCAAAAAAAAAAGGAGAATGATGAAGTATAACAATAAGTTTATAACAAAAGTACTTGAGAGTGTTGATTACCTATCACAAGTTAGAAACATGATTTACAGAATTTTGTTACTCCGAAAACCTTTAGACTTTTATTTAATAGATTTTGTTTCATTTGTCCGAAAACACGTTATGGTTTTTTTCATTACACTATTTAATGTTTCACTATTTTGACATTACTTACAAGTTATTCTTTTCACGATTTTTATTTCCCCAACAAACCGTTTGACCAACGTATCTAATTGAATATTTTTATTTTGTAAAAAAACTATATCCATGATACATTTTTGTTATATTATTTCTTATTACAGGTACTAAAAGTATTAGAACGTGTCGCACAATAAAACTCGTCAAATAAAAGCACCTCGCATCTTTAGAAAATATAGAAAACGCGATGCAAGTTAATTTGATCGAGTTGTAGTCACTCACTTCGCTCGTTTGGATCGTGCTACTTTTTCATATACTAACCTAGGGGGTCGTACCGTCTAGGTAATGCAAACACACAAAAAACAGGCTCTGATACTCTCCTCAATTCAGTTAGAAGTTATTTATTGAATACCAAAGACCATTGTTTTTAAATTACATTTCAGATGACAGCAAAAACATAGCACAATGGTATGACGAAAATTACGTATGTGGACTTGCTGTGCACCAGCAAAGTACAGTCCAGAATTTTGAAGTTGTATGGTAAAATTGTATATCGGTGCAATTTTATCTAAGAATAGTAATTTTGTCGAAACGAATTTTCAGCAATCTAAATTATATGGAAAACAGACATAACAAACATAATTAGACCAAACTTCTGCCCAAAGAATACGTATCTGTAATAATTATTCTAACAACAGGTTTTCGGACAAACGATACTTCTGCGGTAAGACATTTCTATGTTGCAAATTTATACCAAAACTGTCATCGCACTAATGAAAAAAAGTAGAACCGTTTTCGGACTAATGAAACTCGGAAAAAATAAATTCGAGTTTGTGATAGGTTACCGAGTGTTATTATGTAGGTGAGTTGAGTGGTGTGGTGCAAATGAAAGTGTACTGTGTAGGTGAAGATAGGAGAAGCACGAAGCCGGGTATACGAAGTTGCGGGCCCTCCAAGGTTGGAGACTGAGGGCGGAGGTGCAGAGCCAGAGCGCAGCGGGGCAGCGGCGGTAGTGCAACAGTGGATTTTATCGGAGGTGGAGCTCTACTTCGTCTTGAGTATCGGCTTCAGTCACTCCTGCCGCTCCGAACTGGCTTCGTGAAGGTGAGGTAGCCGTTCGATGATTTCGCCAATGTCAATTTGGGGACACACGCGATTTTACTCAAGAATTGACGAGAGGAGAATCTACAAATCTACGACAGAGAACCGACACTGACTTATTACACAAACAGATTGTTTTTTTTTAAATAAATTTACACAGCATATGCACAAAGGAAGAATGGACTAACGCAAGGAGGAAATTGATATAACGGGACGGGGGTGCGGGGTGCGGGAGGCAAGTGACACGCTCTCGTTTGGGGCGCGGACTGCTCTCGTACGTGACTCGGTGGCCGTAGCGCGGTAGTAGCGCAAAGGAAAAACGATTCTCAATTGACCAAGCCACAATTTAGACAAATTCGATGTAGACTTAATGTTAACAAACAAAAACATATGACTTTTAGGGTTTTTTTCACTTCAGACTGACTTACAGTTACCACAATTCAATTTTAGTGAAGCACTATTATCATCGAGTACATAAAAAGACACCAAAATTATACAGAAAATATTTCAAGTATTATTTTGGCATGAATTCTAACTTAAATTGGTCTACGTTATTTGTTTACATGTGTAGATTAAAAGATTCAACGGATGCTAATGATTTCATAATCACCCTTTATATACAGGTGACACAAGCTTAACTGACGATTTTGGCTCATTTTCCAATGAAAGGGAATAAAAAATTAAACTATATAAGTATTAGGAAATGAAACTATTTTTCCGGATTTAAATCGCGAATATTTGTTTTTTCAAACAAACAGACGTTTCGGGCCCTTTACAGGTCTCAGTCAACCGTGACCATGGTCATGCGCGTGCATATACGCGATTTAAATCTGGAAAAATAGTTTTATTTCCTATGTGTAACAATCGCGAAAACCTAAGAACTCGATATATATAAAGTATTTTTTGTTTTTCTTCAGAATTTTGATATTTACAACTACAGGTTGTCATTGTGATCATTTAGAATACTTACTGATTATATATATTAAACTATGTATTGTTTTGTTTAAATAAATGTTAATTGTTCTATCTAGAACTGAACAAGAATGACCCGAGAAATAATCCAAATGTACATTTCTTAAAATTTCGAAACGACTTCTCGTCAGAGTCGTGGAATGTGGTTAACGATATCTTTTTTTGTAATATCAAGTGACGGGACGAAGACGTCGTGTTCCTGATGGTAAGATACACGCCTGTCTATAACACTTGCAGTGCCACTCCGAGCTTTAAATCGCAAAGATCTGTGGGGCACTGTCACTACGCCCGTCACCCTGAAACATTAGCTGAGAAGTCCTATGTGCCTGTTATTATGACCATCACAGTTACCCTTCAAAACCGGAACGCAGTATAATGCTCACATTACCTCTTGGCGGCAGAAATAGGTAAG